GTCTGACACTCCCCAGGTGTCAGTGTGCAGGCAAGGTTGAGAACCACTGAGCAAAGGCTTGAAGGAACAAATTCATATGTCTGCACAGGGGCCCAGAAGTAAACAGCTCAAGCAGGGGCAAGAAACAAGGGGCAGGGGGGCACAGTGGACCGTTTCCTCAGAACCATGGAAGAATTCCAACTAGCAAATAAGCAAATAATCATGACCTTTAATTTGCATAATGTGGACCCCTGACAACCACCATGTTTGCATTTGAACAGCACTTGCTATTGCCTCAAGAAGGGACTGGCTGAGAGGTCCAGTACAACTTGTAATGAATTTACCTCTGTGTTTCTGAGGATGCTGCTGATTCATCTTCGGACACTCAGCCTGGAAAATAGCCAGTATTCAGTGAATGTTTGAACTGAAAGAACAGCCCTTCAGTGTGATCATGGGCTCCTACTTGAGTGACCAGTGTTGATTGCATTTGGGTTCAAGTTTTTTCTGTACCTTAATTGGGCTAATGTGGTCTGAGGGATGTCGAGAAACTCCACAGAAACCCTAGTGCCTATGACTACTCCCTGAAATCCCACTGTTGGTGCTTTGTGTCTTTCACTGGTTCCTGCCTATACCTTGTCAATTCCATTGTCAGACATAGGTCTTCAAGGGTTGGAGGGGCAGAAAGCCTGTTAGTTGTAGGGAAGAGGGGAAAGATCCACAAAGACCCCTCTGAGAGATAGCCTTGGCATTGGCCAAGACCTAAGACAAAGAAGACCTAAAAGACAGGTATTATTTTATTTTCAAATGGGAACCTCCTGGCATTTTCTTGGTTCTTGCAATTTGTGTGCTATGCCCTGTAGCAGTGTTCACCATTTACCCAGGAACTGATTGATTTTGCTAATCATAGAACACAGAGTGATTTTTGCAAGATTCTTCCAAGCAAGATCATAAAACATTTCTAGGCTGGGCGCAGTGGCTCATGTCTATAATCCCAGCACTTTGGGAGGCTGAAGCAGGCAGATCATCTGAGGTCAGTAGTTTGAGACCAGGCTGGCCAACATGGTGAAACCTCTACTAAAAATACAAAAATTAGGCCGGACGTGGTGGGTGGCTCACGCCTGTAATCCCAGCACTTTGAGAGGCCAAGGTGGGCTGATAGCCTGAGGTCAAGACTTTGAGACCAGCCTGGCCAGCATGGTGAAACCCCATCTCTACTAAAAATATAAAAATTAGCCAGGTGTGGTGGCAGGTGCCTGTAATCGCAGCTACTCGGGAGGCTGAGGCAGGAGAATTGCTTGAACCCGGGAGGTGGAGGTTGCAGTGAGCTGAGATCGTGCCATTTGCACTCCAGCCTGGGGGACAAGAGTGAGACTTTGTCTCAAAAAATATATATATACACATATATGTAAATATATGAATATATATATAAATATATGCATATATATGTAAATACACACACACACACACACACAAATTTGCCGGGTGTGGTGGCACACACCTGTAATCCCAGCTACTTGGGAGGCTGAGGCAAGGAGAATTGCTTGAACCTGGGAGGGGGAGGTTACAGTGAGCCGAGATTGCACCATTACACCCAGCCTGGGTGACAGAGCGAGACTCCATCTCAAAGCAAACAAAACAAAATTTCTAATAACCAACAAGGGAAATAGTAAAAGACTTGTGCTATTCCATGTGTGTGCCAACCAGTTCACATACTGACTTGTTTACATCCTCTCCCAGTCTGGGGTCCCCAGGAGTGACCCTGAGACAAGGATATGAGTGAGTGGTTCTTTTGGAGGTGCTCTCATGAAGCCCCAGTAAAGCAGTGAAGAAGTGAGACAGGGAGATGAAGCGGGGGTCAATACAGGGTGTGCTGATGAGCAACTGGGGCTCAGGTCCACTGGGGAACTTGGGGAGACAGTATCAGTAGTGAACATGCCACAGAGTTATTCCATAGGAGGGCCAAGGGAACTGGGCACCATATATCCACCAGCTCCCATCAGTCATTGACTGAGGTCTGCTCCCAGAAGCATTAACTCCTTGGCACTTCTAGTTACCCCTGCACGTGCCCATGCTTTCATGGCCAGAGAAAATGATCAGGTAAAAGGGAGTTGGAGTGCCAAGACATATGGGTAGGGCACCTGCAGCATCTAGTACACAGACCAGCCCATTCACATGCCAACCCATCCATGAACAGCCTAGGAGGGTGTCTGCCTAACAAGTGCCAGCATTCCCGTGTACTAATCCATTCATGTAGGCATCTTTTTCAGAGGCCAACTCATTCCAGAGGCACCATTCATATGCCAATTAGTGAGAAAAGTGATGTACACAGAATGTGGCCACTGGAAATATCTCAGGCTTCTGTGAACACAGGTGTCAATTCCACTCTGTAGCATCAGTGTATTTGAAGTGATTTTCCCTGGTAGTATGTTTTAATTCCTTTTTATTTTTAGTGTATCTGTTAGGTTTTGTGGTTGCTTTGTGGTTACCATGAGGTTTATAAAAAACATCTTATAGTTAACAAGTTATTTGAATAGATGACAATTTTGGTCAAGAGGAAGGGAAAAAACTGAAAACCTCTACACTTTAACTGCATTCCCCTGTATTCTTACTTTTCATTGTCTTAATTTACATATTTTTATATTGTCTATCTCTTAAATTGTTCTAGTTATTTTTGATATATTTGTCTTTTAGTCTTCATACTAGAGAAATGAGTGGTTGACACACCACAATTGCGGTATAAGTGTATTCTGAATTTGTCTGTGTATTTACTTTTACCAGTGAGTTTTGTACCTTCAGATGTTGTCTTTGTTGCACATTAATGTTCTTTTTTTCCAGATTAAAGAACTCCCTTTAGCAATTCTGTAACACAGTTCTGGTGATGATGAATTTCCTCATCTTTTGTCTAACAAAATCTTTCTCATGCTTGAAGGACAGTTTTGCTGGGTACAGTATTCTCAGTTGACAGGTCTTTTTTTACCTTCAGCACTTTGAATATGTCATCCTACCCATGCTGGGTGTGTATGTTTTCTGCTGAGAAGTCTGTTGTGAGATGAATCAGAGCTCCTTTATATGTTATTTGCTTTCTCTTGCTGCTTTTAGCATTTTCTCTTTGTCCTTGACCTTTGAGAGTCTGATTATTCTATGCTTTGAGGTAGTTTTATTTGGGTTAAATCTGTTTGGTGATTCTTGACTTTCCTGTACCTGGCATATTTATATTTTTTCTCTAGACTTGGAAAGGTGACTGTTATTATTTCTTTGAATACGCTTTCCACCCCCTTGCTCTAATTCCCTCTTGAAAGCCAGTACTCCTAGATTTGCTTTTCTGAGGCTCTTTTCTAGATTTTGTAGGCATTCTTCATTCCTTTCATTCTGTTTTCTTTTCTCTCCTCTGACTGTATTTTCAAATAGCCTGTCTTTGAGTTCATTAATTATTTCTTCTGCTTGGTCTGTTCTGTTGTTGAGACCTTGTGATATGTTTTTTAGTTCAGCTAATGTACTTCTCAGTTCCAAGATTTTTGTTTGATATTTTTAAAATTATTTTAATCTCTTTGTTAAATTCCTCTGATAAGTTTCTGAATTGCTTTTCTGTGTTACCTTGGAGTTTGCTGAGTTTCCTCAAGACTGCTATTTTGAATTCCTGATTCGTGAGCTCACAGATTGCCATCTTGTTTGGGTCAATCACTCACTGGCTCCTTGCTATGTCCATTTGAAGAAGTCATGGTTCCTGATGTTAGCAGTTTCTTATGCATGTACACATATGTCTTCACATTGAAGAGTATTTATTCCAGTCTTTGCTGCCTGGGTTAGTTTGGTCTCTTTAGCATATGTGTGTTTAGATGTTCTGTGCACTTTGTCTACTGATTCCTTTAGCTCTAGATCACTGCCTCCTTTTCAGCACTAAATAGCACTCTAAGCCCAGGTTTGTCATGACTCTTGCAAAAGTTCAAAGCTCTGCCTTTTCACAGATAAAGGGCATCAAAGGGGATTCTACAGCGGTGTGGGGAGGCTGGCTAGGGGTTCATGACCAGAGGGCCTGTGGAGAGTGCCTCTTACAATGTGATGCTGCTGAACCACCTCTCTGATTCAGGGTCTTATTTGTCTGAGGTGAATAGTAGCCCCAGAGTTTCACGCACTAGGCTGCTAGCCCCACCTCCACTGTCTATGTGACTCCAGAGGCTTTCAGGGGTCCCTCACCCTACAGGTATTCATGATTCTTCCTGTGGGTTGAGGCAGGAATACTTTCCTGAGTGGGTAGTCAAGATGATGTTGGCTGGCTGCCTTGATCTTACTTTTTCCAGTGTAGAAATGTCCAGGGAACTTTTCTGCATGGTGACTTACGGTTTGGGGAGGGGATGTTACAGAGAAGTCCATTTTACTACCTTCTGCTCACAGTTTTTCACTTTTCTGTGGCCCCAGGATTTGTCAAAGCCTCAGTTTTGAGTTCTGGGATATTGGTGTTTATCATCTTGGCACTAGATCGTTGTTGTTGGTTTTCTATGGGGGGCAGTGAAGCCAGATTGCTTCTACTTTACCATTTTGGTGACACCCAACATCTATGTATTTTACAGGGGCTGGGATTGGGCTGGTCTTACATGCACTCATGCAGTCATTCAAGAAAAGAGGATGTTCACACTAGTTCTTTTTTGGGTAACAAAGAACAGCTCAGGAAGATTTTAATTTAACTGAAAGTACAACTTCCAAGAATAAAGGTGTTTTGTTTCTCATATTTCAAGAAAAGCAGTGGCATCCGTAAGGTTGCTTCATCTACATGAGGTGGTGCATTTAAAAAAGGAGGACAGATACATTAATTGGACTTTGGGGAATGGTGATAGTTTTTCTCCTAATGCCCTGACACAAAGGTCATTGGCCAAATTTCTGCAGGGCCTCAAGAGTGAACTCGGCTCTCATAAGGGATTTGCCTCCAAGACTCAGGGTCTCAGGTGACAGGCTACATGACCCTGAAAGACAACACAAGAAAACCAGCTCAGCCAGTGTCTGTCATCTGAGAGATAATGAACCCTTCACTTTTTAACAAGGTGGTAAAACTTCCCTTTTGCAAAGAATAGCATAACATTTTTGTATATGTCAATCAGCCTGTTTTGCACCAACTTGAAAGCAATGAACACAATCTCCATTCCAATGATGATATAAATGGAGAAGAACAGGAAGAAGTTAGGGTGTTCTAAAACAGTATCCCCAAACCCAATGGTGGTCAGCGTGACAAAGCAGAAATAGAAGGCATTCTCAAAATCCAACTGTGTCTCCCAGAAGGGGAGGATGGCAGCTGCACAGGAAATGTAGGCAAAAACAATAAGGGCAATGATAGGGAGAGGGATGTCCAGCCTCTCCACCTGCTGTCCAACTTCATCCAGGTTGCTGATGATGGAGTATGAGAGTCTCCCCAGCACCAGTTCAGGACACGAGTTACTCCTCTCCATGGCTTGTGGGGGAAGTTGCAGTGTGTTCTGTTTCTCTCGCGCATGAGATCTCTCAAACAGCTCCATGCTGCAGCTTGGGCGTGAAGGACATTTGTCAAGTTTGGGGCCTGGAAGCTCTTCAGCACCGATGATGATCTGAGGGACAGCTTCATCTGTGGGCTTGGGTTCTGGTTTTTTCTTGAAGAGAGATTTGGGGCACCACTTGGAGAGGGGGCGGGTAAAGAAAGGGAATTTTCGGAACCGATTATAAGATGTGGATAAGATGGTTGCCAGGATGTCACCTGTGTCCGTGAGAACGAGGAACATCAGGGGGATACCAAAGAGAGCATAGAGCATGCACAAGTACTTGCCAAGCCTGGTGACAGGGTAGATGTAGCCATAGCCTGAAAAAGAAGATGGACTTAGAGTTTGCATCTGGCCCCTTCCCTTTTCCCCCCCAAAAAGCTTTAAAGAGACCTTCTGCCATTTCCCCTCCTTGGCATGACATTTTACACAATGTTTTTGGAAATACTCATCTCAAAGCATTCAGCCACTGGTCTGGCATTAGGCCTACTTTGCTGGGAGGGAAAGGAGTGAAACCCAGCTTCCCTTTAGGATGAGGAGCAACTGATATCCAGGTCTTTGACTTGAAATGTCCTTGGCAGGGGACCAGCACAGGTTTGGGGTGGACAGATTGCCTTTGATTCTGCTCTGGCCATTTCTGACCACCCCCTAAAGGAAGGCCTCAGCTGACCTGGAAGGACAGGATGAATACAAGTGAGAGAGGATGGATGGCTTTGTAATCATATCCAACGCCACTTTTATTCTCTGTGAAGGTGCTGGCTTTTAAGAAGCTGCCCTTGGCCGGGTGTGGTGGTTCATGCCTGTAATCCCAGCGCTTTGGGAGGCCAAGGTGGGCAGATTACCTGAGGTCAGGAGTTGGAGATCAGTCTGGCCAATATGGTGAAACCCCGTCTCTACTAAAAATACAAAAATTAGGCGTGGTGGCGGGCGCCTGTAGTCCCATCTACTCAGGAGGTTGAGGCAGGAGAATCGTTTGAAGCCAGGAGGTGGAGGTTGCAATGAGCTGAGATCTTAAAAAAAAAAAAAAAAAAAAAAAAAGCCACTCCTGTCCTCCATAAGAGGACTGGGCTATTTGTTTCTATGTAAGAGGCACTTATTGTGTCCCCACGGTGTGCTCAGCAGTGTGTATAGTATTAGGAAAAACAGAAAGATGGAAGATGAGTAAAATACAATTGCCCTCAGAGCTATTTGTTGCCTAGCAGATTAGACAAACATGTTCCTAATGAAGCAATTAGCCTCCCAGCATCTAAGTTCTGACTGACCTTGCTTTGAATCCCAGCTCTACTATTTATGATAATATTACTTGACTGCGGCGGGGCACGGTGGCTCAAGTCTGTAATTCCAGCACTTTGGGAGGCCGAGACGGGTGGATCACAAAGTCAGGAGATCGAGACCATCCTGGCTAACACGGTGAAACCCCATCTCTACTAAAAAATACAAAAAATACAGAGCGAGACTCTGTCTCCCAAAAAAAAAAAAAAATTACTTGACTGCTCACATTTTCAGGCTTCATCTGTAAGATGGGGATGACAATGCCTACTTTGCATATTGACTAGCTGGGAGGATTACATGAGGCCCATGCTTGACACACAGTGCACAACTGATAAGTGGTGTCTTCACCCTCCAGACCTTAGCTGCCTAGTGAGCACTTCCTGTGGGCTGGGCGTCAGTCAGCCTTCATAGGGAGGTATTGTTATCACCATTCACAGGTGGGGAAACTGAAGCACAGAGAAACGAAGTAGCTTGCCCGTGAGCATACACGTGATACGCAGTGGAGTTGGGGTCAAATCCACAGGACTCTCAGGTCCCCAACCAGTGCTGTCACCCTCAGGAGCATCCAGGGGCAGGACCATTCAATCAGAGAGAACCCGGCAGCAAAACAAAGGAGGGGATGAGCTGAGGTCTCCATCCCCGTCGGGAGCCCCTCCCCTCCCCTTGCACCGACAGAGGGGCAGGAGCAGACAGACCTCAAACCCCACAGCACGGATGGCTAGATATGCTGGAGCAGGCAAGCATCAATGACTTCAACAAGCAGAAGACAAAACTTTTATATTTAATGCCTGTGTTTAATTTTGATGTCATAAAGGATGATTAATACAGAAAAACCCAGCTCAATTATGTAAATTAATCTGAAGGCAACTCCTCAGCTGGCTAAGCCCCAACTTCCTCCAGAAGTGCAGCTCCCTGTGGCACACTTTGGCCTCGGGCTCTGCCGTCCAAGAGCAGGTGGGTATTCAGGTTGCCCACCCTCACCAGAGTCCCAAGTACGGGAGGGAGCCGTGGCCCTGAAACAGTCTCATCAGTTTGCATCCATCCCAGAGCACTCCATGCCACTCTGGCTGGTTCCACTAGGTACCATTCGATGGCAGTGTCAGTTAACTGTATTTGCATGCATTCATTCATTCATTCATTCATTATTGAGTGCTTACTGCATGCACTGGGGGCATAGCGCTGAGCAAAATGGATATGGGATATGACCCCTCTGAGCCTCTGGTTTGGTAAGAGAGGCAGACATTAATTTTAAAAATCACACTAATGGGTATGGAATTACAAATGGAGATCAATAACAGGAAGTGGAAAAGCAGACCATGAGTGATTAGAACAAAGGCACCTATCCTGGGCTGGGCGCGATGGCTCATGCCTGTAATCCCAGCACTTTGGGGGCCAAGGCTCCTGATCATTTGAGGTCAGGAGTTCAAGACCAGCCTGGCCAACATGGTGAAACCCTGTGTCTACTAAAAATACAAAAATTGGCCAAGTGTGATGGTGCATACCTGTAATCCCAGCTTACTTGGGAGGCTGAGGCACGAGAATCGCTTGAACCCAGGAGGCAGAGGTTGCAGTGAGCTGAGATTGTGCTACTGCACTCCAGCTGGGGTGACAGGGCAAGACCCTGGCTCAAAAGAAAACAAAAAACAACCGCAAGGCATCCATCCTGGATTTGGGCCCAGGAAAGATTTTCCCTGTGAGGGGATTTTTGAGCTGATGTTGGCAGGGGGCCAAGAACTACCCAGGTGAACAGAGAGGAAGCAGCCTGTGCAAAGACCCTATGGCAGGTTTGACAAAGGGCTATCCATACAGCGACAGTGGGGCAACTTGTGTACTGCACATATACCAAGGGGGTGACTGGGAGCTGAAACCTAGCCTCTGTGCACTTACCAAGCTGAGAGCTCAGGGCTCGCGGCACTGGGCTGTGTCTGCCTAGCGAGGGATATGGTTTTCTAATTTTTCACCAAGATGTCACTCTGAGTATAGCTGTCACCCAGGTTTAAGGAACCAAGAGAAGGCCAGTGTGGCCAGTGTACAGGGAGGTAGGGGAGGGGAGCAAGGTGAGGCTGGGAGGTAGGCAGCATCTAACGGCTTCCATGGCAGATGGGGGAGCGCCTTGATCAGTGTGGAAGGCTGAAAAATGACAGCCCCCAAATATAGCCAAGTCTTAATTCCTGGAATCTGTCAGTGCTGCCATATTTGGAAAGTGAGTCTTTGTAGACGTGATTAAGGATCTCGAGATGAGGAAGTTATCCTGGATTGTGTGTGTGGCCCTAGGTATCATTACAAGTGTCCTGATAAGGGAGAGCCTGAGCAAGATATTTTACACACAGAGAAGAGGAGGTAATATGACCTCAGAGGCAGAGACCAGAGTGATGTGGCCATAAGCCAGGGAATGCTGGCAGCCACCAGAAGCTGCCAAGGAAGGGTCCTCCCCTAGAGCCTCAGAGGGAGCATGGCTCTGCCAATACCTTGATTTTTGAAATCAGTAAAACTGATTTCAAACTTCTGGCCTCCAGATCTTGACAGAATAAATTTCTATTGCTTCAAGCCACCGAGTTTGTGGAAATTTATTACAGCAGCCACAGGAAACAAAATCAAGTTTGCATCTTTTTTTTTTTAAGATGGGATCTTGCTCTTTTACCCTGGCTGGAGTGAAGAGGCGTGACCTTGGCTCACTGCAACCTCCACCTCCTGGGTTCAAGCAATTCTCCTGCCTCAACCTCCTGAGTAGCTGGGACTACAGACAGGCGTACCACCATGCCTGGCTAATTTTTGGATTTTTAGTAGAGATAAGGTTTCACCATGTTGGCCAGGCTGGTCTTGAACTCCTGACCTCAAGTGATCTGCCCACCTCAGCCCTGCAAAGTGCTGGGCTTACTACAGGAGTGAGCCACCACTCCTGACTTGGTTCGCATCTTGAAAAGATCATCCTGACTGCATCACAGACAGTAAACTGGAGGGCTTCAGATGGACACAGGAAGATAAGTGGGGAGGCTATGGTTCCTGCCCAGGTGAGAGATGAAGGGGACTGTGGCTAAGGCAGGAGCTGAGAGGAGAGACCTGTAGAGACTGACTAGACAATTTTGGCAGAAATCTCAAGACAGGAGGATGGTTTGGATTGGAGTGTCTGAAAGGAGCTGGGATTTGAGCACAGAGCAGGCACTGTGAATCCACCGGAATCCACTGCTGTCGTTGGTGAAGGTGGGTTTACAGGATTATAAACAAAGCCTTTTTGGCTGCCTCTGGGTGAGATACTTTTGTAATCCAAAATATGCAATATGTCACATTCCTGAAAATGTTTCAAGGAAGCAGGTCTCAGAGAGCACACAACCCCTACAAATGGAATGTATTAACTATCCTAATTACTGAATGCCGAAATGCATAATGGAACTCATTATTTCTTAGAATGCATTCATATATTTTGATACAATCAGTTCACTGTACTTAGCCTGTAAGTACTTAATAGCCCATGCACTTTCCTTTCTAATCCAAGACAGCTGACCCAGTTGAGAATGACTGGGGCTTGACTGACCTCACACCTGTCAGGTATCCTGTTCTTAGCATTAAGGCCAGGTGCATTTCAGATGATCCAGAGATGCAGGGCAGGAAGCAGTATTACCAGAGGGACTTTCAAACACCATTATTGATTTTGGACAGTGCGGAACATTCCCCAACATCCTCTTCCAGTTGTAATTTCTGGGCGGCATGATGTCCTAATTGACTTGTACAATGGGCAGTAGCATGGCCTTCTTGGAATTTAAGCCAAGCTAATGCATTTCCATTAGATCAGTGACTCACAGCCTAGACTTCCACTAGAATCACCTGGAGGGTCCTGGAAAATACTGATGCCTGGGCCTGGTCCCTAGGGATTCTAATCGTTTGGTCTAGGGCAGGGTCCGCACATGGGAGCTTGCAAAAGCTCTGCAGGTGACTCTGACATGCAGCCAGGGCATGCTTCTCAAACATTAGCACACATCAGAATCACATGGAGGACTTTCTAAACTACAGATTGCTGGGCCCCACAACCATGGTGTCTGGCTCAGTAGGTCTAGAATGGCTCCTGAGAATTAATTTGCATTTCTAACAAGTTTCCCAGTGATATCGATGTTACTCAGGGACCACATTTTGACAACGATTGCAATAGATCAGTTCTCAACGGGGGCAATTTTGTCCCCCAGGGGAAATTTGGCAATGCCTGGAGACTTGTGGCTGCCATAATGGGTGGGGACAGTGGGGAAAGTGCTATTGCATCTGGTGGGTGGAGGCCAGAGATGCTGCTCAATATCCTACATTGCACAGGAGCCTCCTCCACAGAGAATTATCCCATGCAAGAGGCTGATAGTGCTGAGGTTGAGAAATCCTGCCTCAGATGCATCTAAGGTTTTTTCGGGTTTGTTTGCTTGTTTGAGACAGACTCTGCCAGAGACAGACTCTGCCATCCAGGCCAACTCTTGCCTCCCAGGCTGGAATGCAGTGGCATGATCATGGCTCACTGCAGCCTCAACCTCCAGGGCTCAAGTGATGCTCCCACCTCAGCCTCCTGAGTAGCAGGGACTACAGGTGCACGTCACCACTCCCAACTGATTTTTTAATTTTTTGTAGAGACGAGGTCTCATTGTATTTCCCAGACTGGTCTCCAACTCTCACCTCATCCTCCCAAAGTGCTGGGATTATAGGCATAAGCCAGGGCACCTGGACCAATCTAAATTCTTGAGGAGGCTGGGCACGGTGGAGCACGCCTATAATCCCAGTGCTTTGAGAGGCCGAGGCAGGTGGATCACCTGAGGTCAGGAGTTCAAGACCAGCCTGGCCAACATGGTGAAACCCTGTTTCTACAAAAATGCAAAAATTAGCCAGGCATGGCCTGGTGTGGTGGCTCATGCCTGTAATCCCAACACTTTTGGAAGGCTGAGGCAGACGGATCACCTGATGTCAGGAGTTCAAGACCACACTGATGGATATGATGAAACCCCATCTCTACTAAAAATACAAAAATTAGCCATGCATGGCATAGTCAGCTACTCGGGAGACTGAGACAGCAAAATTGCTTGAACTCGGGAGGTAGAGATTGCAGTGAGCCGAGATCGCGCCATCGCACTCCAGCCTGGGCAACAAGAGCAAAACTCTGTCTCAAAAAAAAAAAAAAAAAAAAAAATTCCAGGCATGATGGCAGGTGCCTGTAATCCGAGCTACTTGGGAGACTGAGGCAAGAGAATTGCTTGAACCTGGGAGCCTGAGGTGGTAGTGAGCAGAGATGGCACCATTGCACTCCAGCCTGGGCGACAGAGCAAGACCCTGTCTCAAAACAAAAAAAGCTTAAGGAAAACAAAAAGATAAAGTAAACTTAATAGCTTCTAGCCCCTTTGTACAGCACCTCAGCATTTTGGGAGGCCGAGGACGGCAGATCACCTGAGGTCAGGAGTTCGAGACCAGCCTGACCAACATGGCGAAACCCCATCTCTAGTAAAAAATACTAAAATTAGCTGAGTGTGGTGGTGCACACCTGTAATCCCAGCTACTTGGGGGCTGAGACATGAGAATCACTTGAACCAGGGAAGTGGAGGTTGCAGTGAGCCGAGATTGTGCCACTGCACTCCAGTCTGGGTGACCGAAAAAGGCTCCACCTCAAAAAACAAAGCATTCAGGCGAACGGGAGAAACCACATGGGGGCTACTTCTGAAGCTGGGTGCCCAGTTGCCCACACAGCAGCCATTCCCTCCTTTCTTCCCTGCAGACCCACTGCTCCCCGAGCTGATTTAGGGGCAGATCCGATTAGTCTTAGTCATCCTGGTGCTCCAATCCCCCTGCCTGGGACCAGCATAGAGGTGGATGGGAGGCCCAGTGGGAGACTGCCAGGAAGACATCGTCGCTGCTGATGAACCATGCAGAGAGACAGCAGCCCCCCTTTCTGTATAAGACACAGTGATGCTCGGATGGGATGTGGACCTTGGTGGCCTCATGTGGCTCAGTGGGCAGAAGGATGGAGAAAACCTGATGCCCAGTGCCGTGACTGCAAATGGGACATGAGCTGCGTATCAGCCTAGAGCCGTCCTCACACTGGACTTCTGACTTGGAAGGCGACATTCTCCTTGCAGTTTAAGCCAGCTGAGTTGGGTTTTCTGTTCGTCACTGCTGAAGGCATCCTGGCTGCCACTTACATGCATAGCCATCAACCAACCCTGAGAGGCAGGTCTAGAAGTGCTTACGGGTCCCAGTAAAAGGCTCAGAGGGGCGACGTCCCTTGCTGGAGATTGCACAGCTTCGACCCAGGCTGGCCACTGCTACATCCTGACCTTCAGCATGAGGGGCCCCATCCATTCTCTGCAACCCCTGTGGGCCAGGCCCTCCTAGGGATGAGCACTTGCTCTCTTGAAGGGAGGAGAGGGCCCGCAGTCCCTTTTGCCAGCTGTGAGAGGGGCAGGGGCTGAGTGATGGGCCGCGCTCCTGGTGGGGACTCTGACCCAAGGGCTCCGGCCCTGTGGCTGAGGGCAGCTCCATCACCTCCTGTGACCCCTGCCCAGGCAGGGGAGGCTCCTGCCAGGCCTGGTTTGGCCCCTGCAACCTGGCCCCACTGCTGCCCCATCAGAAGGGAAGCTGGGGCTGGGCCAGCCAGCTCAGAGTGAGCCCTTAATCACCAGAGGGACCTTAGTTAACTGCTGACCCAGCGGCATCACACCCCCAGCCCAGGAGGCCTAGCTCTGCTGAAGCATCCCCCACCACTCTCCTGACCATTCTCTGCCCTCCAGCCACAATGGTCATGTCCTCAAAGGGGCCACTAAACCAACATTTTGCCCATAAGGGTGGGGAAGCATCTCCCTCCCAGTTTCTATGTGCCAGGTGCATAGAAAGTTATACATACAGAGAGGGAGCAGGGTGCTGGGTCTAGACCCAAGTGGCTGGGTTCAAACGCACATGAACTGTGTGACTTTTTGAAATTGACGGACCTGCTGGAGTATGGGAACAATAACAGCACCCACCTCATGGTGAGGACTAGAGGAGCTAATCAGCATAAAGGTCTTATAACAGGGCCTGGTGCATCTTCAGTGCAAAAGTCTCGGCCAGTGCAGCTGCTATTTGTAGGTGTGCAATATAGATTTGAGGAAGGGAGGGAAGAAGAGAGGGAGAGGAGGGCCATCTCCACACCCCAATTCCAGTGTCCTTTGCCACCCAGAAGCCCACCCTTCACAGGGCCACCGTGAGGGGGACTGTGGCTTTGCACTTACCCACGGTGCTGAACACTGTGCAGCAGAAAAAGAGCGAGCTCAGGAAGGACCAGTTTGTGGTCCTGTTAAACCACTGAGGCTTCACCTTCTGCAGATGCCCCTGGAGATCCTGTTTCCTATCTTCCACCACTGGAGAAAGACACGACCAAGAATTTGAGGGAAAGGTTCTGCTGGTAAAGACAAGCCCCGCCCCGGTGAAAGGGGGATAGTCTTCCCCAAGGACCAGCAGCCCCCTCGCCTTGTGGTCAGTATCAACACCAAAGCTTGGTGATTGAAGCCCTCCTTTAAAATATTTCTGCAGCCTGGGTCCTGCCTTTGGTCCCCATGGAGATAAGGAGGCCACTTAGCCCTGTGAGAAAAGCACCTAACAGAGAGGCCCATGGGGGGTCCCGCCAGAGCTTAGCCCTGGCATTGCTGTGTAGTCTTTGCCTTTTACTTTTCTGAACCTCCATTTCTTTCTTTTTTTTTTTTTTTTTTTTTTTTTTAGTCAAAAGTCTTGCTCTGCTGCCAGGCTGGAGTGCAGTGGTGTGATCTCGGCTCGCTGCAACCACTGCCTCCCTGGTTCAAGCAATTCTCCTGCCTCAGCCTCCCAAGTAGCTGGGACCACAGGGGTGCACCACCACACCCCTGCCCAGCTAATTTTTGTATTTTTAGTTGGGACGGAATTTCACCATGTTGGCCAGGATGGTCTCAATCTCTTGACCTCGTGATCCGCCTGCCTCGGCCTCCCAAAGTGCTGGGATTACAGGTGCGAGCCACCGCGCCCCGCCTCTTTCATCTTTCAAAGGAAGATAACTTCTGCTCTGCCTCACACAGGGTTCTCAAGTACTAAAAGCAAAAGGCTTTTAGGAAAAGCAAGCTGTTACACAGATGCAAATCATTCCCACTCCTGGAGGTTATTACACTTGATGGAGTTTGCCGGGCATGATGGCTCACGCCTGTAATTCCAACACTTTGGAGGGCTAAGGTGGGCGGATCATTTGAGGTCAGGAGTTCAAGTCCAGTCTTTCAACATGATGAGACCCTGTCTCGACTAAAAATGCAAAAATTAGCCAGGCTTAGTGGCACACGCCTGTGGTCCCAGCTACTTGGGAGGCTGAGGCAGGAGAATCGCTTGAACCTGGGGAGTGGAGGTTGCAGTGAGCCGAGATAGCGCCACTGCACTCCAGCCTGGGTGACAGAGCAAGTCTGTGTCTAGAAAAATAAAAATAAAAACTTGATGGAGTTTGATCATCATACCACCATACTGTGATCTTTGGGCACCAGCTACCTGTGAGTGTCTCCTCCAGGGCTGGGAAAACTTGACTTCCTAAACATGGGTTCCAGGGCTAATAGCAGGGTTGGGAATCCTGGTTTCCCAGAGAGGTTCCTGAATGGCTCAATTGGCCTGGGCAGCCAGTGGACTTTGGGACCCCAGAGGCCACCTGCTAGACTAGTTCAGCCTGAAGAGAATGGCACTGAGCCTGGCATGCAGCAGGAAGTCACTATTCCTTTTAACTGGCACCAGCCTGGGAGTCTATGCACCTCAATTCCAGACCCAGCTCTGACCTTGACAAGTTCTGTAACTGTGGACAAGAGGCTGCTTTCTGAGCCTCAGTTTCCCCATCAGAGAGACAGCCTGAGATGGTGGTGAAAGGTTCAGGCTCTGGAATCCAAATACATGGGGTTAAGTCCCTGGGTCCATTTTTCTAGTTTGCGAACTTAGACAAATTGCTTAACCTCCCAAGGCCTCAATTTCCTAATCTGTAAAAGAGGGACAACTTCTACCCAACATATAGGCTTCTTGTGAGGATTAGGTGAGAGAACGTGTGAAGTGTTTGCCACAGGGTCTACATACAACTAACCCTTATGGAACATTTTAATCTCCAGTGAAAATCGGTACCAAATGGAGTGCGACCAGTTCTGCGTTCCCATACCCTGCTGTGCATTGGAATCACCCGATAAACTTTATTTTTACTTATTTACTTTTGAGACATGACTGGCTCTGTCATCCAGGCTGGAGTGCAATGGCACAATCACAGCTCACTGTAGCCTCAAACTCGCAGGCTCAAGCGATCCTCCTGCCTCAGCCTCCCAAGTAGCTGGGACTACAAGTGCATGCCACTTCATCTGGCTAAGTTTTTAAACTTTTTGTAGAGACAGGGTCTCACCTTGTTGCGCAGGCCTGATTCTCCCACCTTGGCCTCCCAAAATGCTAGGATTACGGGCGTGAGCCACGGTGCTTATCCTGGAAACTTTAAGACTCCCAACCCAGCCCTGGAGATCCTGATTAAGTGGGTTTGGAGAAAAGCCTGGGAATGTGTACTCTAGGCAGTCTCCCTGGGTGATTCTGATGTGTTGCTGGCTTGGAGAGCCTTGAACTTGCTGGTAGTCTAGACCCTGCGATGGTACAGTGTCCCTTTGATAGCAGTTTCCCAGGTTCACTGAGCAGGCTGGCTCCCGTCTGGCAAGGATGCAGGGAGTGGGACCCTCCACAGACAGGGTACTCTGCCTCCCTGGACCAGCCTCTTGTCCCTGGGAGCCACACCTGTTCCCAGAGCAAGGTCGGGGATGTTGAAGGAGCCCCCACACCAGAGTGGGAGGGGAGGAGCTCCCTGCACCCTGTTCTTCTGCTGACTTTGAGTCTGGTTTCATTTGTCTTTCATTTATCTACTCTCCCTTGTTTTATCTTGCTCTGTTGAATATAATAACAAGCTTCCTTTGTGGAACACAGAGTAGAAACAAGTGATAAATACAAAGAAAATGCAATAAGGACACTATAAAGTGCCTTCTGTCTTCCAAGAGCCAGAATGTTCCTTGTCTCTTCTGCTTCTCACAGGGTCCCTGTGACCGCCAGGCCTGAGATTGGGGGTCCCCTTCTCTCCCGCAGACTGAGGCCCAAAGAGAACAAAGCTTTGCCTCCACAGATTGCGGAGCAAGCTGGGAGAGCAGCCGGGAAAAGAGCCAGGACCCCCGCCCCTCCCCCAGGTCTTCTCACAGCACCTCCCCACTCACCTGAGCCAGACAGCAGAAAAGGACTTTAAAACAGGAAATGGGGGTGTGGGGGGCTGGTGCTCCTGCTGGGATTCAAACGCAGTTTGGGTTGTTCCCTAACTTCTCATCCCTGCAAACTGAATCCTGGGTCAGGCAGACATAGTCCTGAGAAGCAGCTTAGCCCCCCAACCCCAGGCCCAGATTTGCTCACCCACACACCCTACCCCACCCCACCCAATTCCCAGTAATCCACCCTCCCCTGAGGCTGCTGGTCTGGATGGGGCTGGGAGCTGAGACACAGGAAGGGGAGCTGGTCTTTCCCGAGTACCTCCTGGGTGCTCAGGGCCTTTCCTGCATTCTTCGCAGCAACCCCAAAAGGTGGTTAGTCTCCCCACTTTTCAAAGAAGAAAACAGAGGTTCAGAAAGCAGTTACTCGCCTAAAGTGCCCAGGCATGAGGAGGATCCAGGCAGGCAGCTCCCAGACCCAGCCTCCTGGAAGGCAGCCCTCTGCTCTCAGGGGACTGCTGCCACCACGGAGAAAAGGCACACCCTGTCCCGGTGAGGCACCTACCTGTTTCACTGCAGTTCAAGATTCTGCAGAGCTCCTCCAAGAACTTCTCAAATTCTCCATCATCTGCTGCCACCAGGACCTGGCCATCCTCAATGGCAGAGAAGAGCACAGCACCCACCAGGGCGTAGGTCACCAGAAAGCAGAGGAAGCAGAGGCCGGGAAAGAGCTTTCCCAGGGCCTCTGGGCAGCATCTCCTGGCCTGGGGGTGCCCGGAGGCCTCCATCCTCCCTGGAGCATGCAGGGCAAGAGTTTCTGGTGGAAGAGGCAGGAGCATCTAAGCCCCGCCAGGAAGATGGGGTAGGAGTGCCCGGAGAACAGCCAGGCTCCAGCGCTAAGTGGATGGTGCGTGTGCTTCCCCAAGGACTCAGGAAGCAGCCGGCAACTCATCATGTTCAGTTCATCCGAACTACTCAGATGGCGCCCTCCCTAGCACCCCAGATTGCTATTGATCCGCTGGGCCGGCCCTGGAGCTGCCTGGAAGGGGCTTTGGGAGGATAGTGTGGTGGTGGTTTTGTGCTTCGTTTAATCTTTTCTATCCCCGAACTGCAGTTTTGAATTGCAGATCCCAAACCTGATCTTTGGCATTTAGTCAAGTGATTCTTTCCTGAGAGCTGCCTGTGACACCACTTGGCTTAGGGTACCTGGTCTCCTGGACAGGTGATAATAGTAGTAACTAATGCGGCCAGAGCTCAGTAGTTTCCAAAGGACCTTTATCCTGTGTGGATCTAATTACTGGTCCCCATGCTTCACTGCCCTGCTGCATACCCCCTCTTGCCGTGGCCTCACGGTGGGCAGAGTACTTCCTTGAACTTGGCTTTACAGCAGGTCATCTCAGTTGCTCCAGCCAGCTGGGCATTAGCAGATGTGATGCAAGCAGGGGCGAGGCCTGTGCTTGTGCATTTGGACTTCCTCAGCTATGCCTTTGTCTGCCATGAGAAAAGGTGCCCCAGCTTTCAATTTTCAGTTCAGAGTAGGCCAGTGTGCAACTTTTTTTGGTCGTCCTGAATCCAGGTTCATCCAACACCAGCTACCTCCACCCCGCACCCTAAGTTTGACCCCAACGAGACTAAAGTCTGAGGTGCACTGGGAATGATGTTGGTGCCATGTCTGTGCTGGCCCCTAAGATCAACCCCCTGTGTCTGTCTCCAAAACACATTGGTAATGACATTGTTAGGGCAACCAGTAACTTGAAGGATCTGAGGATGACAGTGAAACTGACCATTCAGAACAGACAGGCACAGGTTGAGGTAGTACCTTCTGCCTCCGCCCTGATCATCAAAGCCCTCAAGGAACCTCCACGAGACAGAAAGAAACAGAAAAACATTAAGTACAATGAAAATATCATTTCATGAGAATGTCAACATTGCCTAACAGATGCAGCTCCGATATTTAGTTAGGGAACTCTCTGGAACAATTAAAGAGATCCTGGGGACTGCACCGTCTGTGGGCTGCCATGTTGATGGTCACCACCCTCGTGACATCAACAATGATACAGCGGAATGCCCAGCTTGTTAAGCACAAAGGAAAATACTTCAATAAAGGATCATTTGACAACCAGTGGGGGTAAAAAGTGCCTCAGATGGCAGCTGTGGAGATGCAGGCAGGTTTAGATCCCTCTTCCAGAAAGGACTCGCTGTGCAGCTCTGAAGAGCATGGTTCGTGACAGCCCCTTTCGTTCTCTGAGGGTTTGCTACTGGTTTCAAGCCCTCTTCTTGGAGAAGCCTGCGCCTACTGACTAAACAAGGCGGGGACCCAAGGGCCTATTCATTTCTGCCCAATACAGGACTCCTCCAACCTGCAGTCTTTGTTCCAGAGTGGCCCGTTGGTCTACAGAGACCTTGTTAGTCTGCGTTATGATCCAGAGACTTTCCCTGTTCCATCTACTTCCTTCATTTTCATTTTACCAGTCTTCCCAATAAAGCTTTTGCAATCGTGACTCTGTCTTGGTGTCTGCTTCCCAGAGGATCCAACAGTAGTTGGCACCAGAAGTGGTCTGAGAAAGCCTGCTCAAAAAGCTAAGATGGGGGCCGGGCACAGTGACTCGCACCTGTAATCCCAGCACTTTGGGAGGCCGAGGGGAGCGATTGCTTGAGGCCGGGAGTTCAAGACCAGCCTGGCCAACATGGCAAAACCCCATCTCTACTAAAAATGCAAAAACCAGGTGTGGTGGTGCACACCTGTAATTCCAGTTATGTTGGGAGGCTGAGGCACAAGAATTGTTTGAACCTGGGAGGCAGAGGTTGAAATGAGCTGAGATCACACCACTGCACTCCAGCATGAACAACAGAGTGAGACTGTCTCAAAAAAAAAAAAAAAAGCTAAGATGGGGTTTGAGGACTGGGTCCCTCAATACTGAAGTGGTAAGGAGATGATATATAGGTAGCCTTTGGTGCAAGGTGGCTGCCCAACTATTAAACTTGTCACCAGCAGTGAGCTGGGATGGCATGTTGACTAGTGCAATGATTCGCATTTGAAACATTGAAGGAATGATAAACACAAGATCAATAAGTTTGGATGGCTATTATGAAGTTGCACTGACCCCCTGGAGGCAAGCTTAGAAGAAGGAAGTTCATAGAACAAACAGCCCCTGTTACTGCCACCAGTCTCAAGGCTGCAACTGACACTCATCATCTCCTTCCTTCACTATTCATTCTAACTTTTCCTTGCCCTCTGCTACCTCTTCGACTGGTCTCAATGGCTTACCTGATGGAATGATCCTAATCCTCATCCCTGGGGGGGTCTGAGCCCTTGGTAACCACATCCTTTTCAGGTTGGGGCTGCTTGTGCTTGTCCACTTACAGACAGTTGGGTAAGAAGTACCAAGAGGTACCCAAGTGAGTCACCCGAGCTCCACCTATATTATTCTCTGCCCTCCTTGTGTGAAAGCAGCCCTGCCTCCTGCTGACCAGGTCAATTGCCCCTGTATTAGTCTGTCCTCATGTTGCTGCAAGGATACTACCCAAGACCGGGTAATTTATCAAGGAAAGAGGTTTAATTGACTCACAGTTCAGCATGGCAAGGGAGGCCTCAGGAAACTCACAATCATGGCGGAAGGGGAGGCAAACACATCCTTCTTCACAGGGTGGCAGGAAGGAGAATGAGTGAGTGCCCAGCGAAGGGGGAAGCCCCCATAAAACCATCAGATCTTGTAAGAACAAACTATTGTGAGAACAGGATGGGGTAAACGACCCCATGATTCAATTGTCTCCATCTGGTCCCTCCCATGACACATGGGGGTTATGGGACTTACAATTCAAGAGGAGATTTGGGTGGAACACAGTCAAAACATATCAGCCCCTGACAAGATGGCCACCCATTTTCTTACCTGCTGGTTCCTGGACACAAGGATCTCAAAGTGCCCAGGGAGCAGTCATAAGGTGTATTCAATGCACCCCTTGCTGGGTTTCCAGATGAGTGTGTCCCCCTTGGGGACCAAGAATTCTAACACTGCAGAGCCTAGAGTTCTGGAGATGGGAAAAAGTGAAGACGACATGTAGTTGTATAATTTTCCAGAAAGGGGCAAATGCTTCATTGCACCTGTACCACCCTGAAGAAAGAGAAGGCAAGATCTCCAAGCCTTGAGCAAACCAGTCTCCCGGCACGTCCTGCTCCCACACTCCATCTGTATCCAGCCTCCCAGATGAGTCAAGTGTAAAAATTATTTGCCTAGCCCTGAATGCCCAAGGTTTTCTGCTATCTTCTCAAAAGTTCTATGGTTTTGTGTTTTCCATTTCAGTCAGTGATCCATTCTGAGTTAATTTCTGGTAAAGTGTGAGGTTAAGCTTCACGTTTTTACCCTATGGATGCCTGTATTGCTCGGGCTTCATTTGTTGAGAAGGTTATCTTCACTGCATTGAATTTGTTTCTCACCTTTCTGGAAAATCTGTTGAACATATTTGTGTGGGTCTGTTTCTGGGTTTTCTATTCTGTTCCATTGACCGATGCATCAATAGCACATAGCCCTTCACCAATAGCACACTTTCTAATTCCTGTAGCTGTGCAGTAGGTCTTAATGTCAGATAGAGTGATTTCTCCTGCCTTATTCTCTTTTCAAGATTGTTTTAACTGTTTTTAAGGCTTTTCCCTATAAATTTAAAAATCATCTTATCTATGTATACATAAAACCTTGCTGAGATTTTGATAGGGATTACATGAAATCTATAGATCAATATGGGCAGATGCAACATCTTTACTGTGTTGAATCTTTCAATCCATAAATGCGGTATGTCTTTCCTGGCCATTACTTTTGAAAAAACAGCTTAGTGTGCTCCCATGATTCTTGATTCAAGGCAAGAATTAATTTTTAGGGCCAGGTGCAGTGGCTCATGCCTGTAATTACAGCAGTTTGGGAGGCCGAGGTGGGCAGATTGCTTGAGGCCAGTAGCTTGAGACCAGCCTGACCAACATGGTGAAACCCCGTCTCCACTAAAAATACAAAGAAATTGGCTACTAAAAATACAAACAATTGGTGGCACATACCTGTAATCCCAGCTACTCGGGAGGCTGAGGCATGAAAATCATTTGAACCTGGAAGGTAGACGTTTCAGTAAGCTGAAATCGTGCCACTGCCCTTCAGCCTGGGTGACAGAGCAAGACTTTGTCTCAAAAAAAAGAAAAAAAAAAAGTTTAAATATAAGAATGAGTGGCCGGGCGTGGTGGCTAATGCCTGTAATCCCAGAATTTTGGGAGGCCGAGGCGGGTAGATCACGAGGTCAGGAGATCGAGATCATCCTGGCTAACACGGTGAAACCCCATCTCTACTAAAAATACAAAATTAGCCAGGCATGCTGGCGGGTGCCTGTAGTCCCAGCTACTCTGGAGGCTGAGGCAGGAGAAGGATGTGAACCCAGGAGGCGGAGCTTGCAGTGAGCTAAGATCGCACCACTGCACCCCAGCCTGGGCGACAGAGTGAGACTCCATCTAAAAAACAAAAAAGAACAAGTAGTCAAGTTATTTGTTACTTTTTAGGTAAGGCATTCTAAGTGTTATTTAATGCATGTGAGGTCAGTGTTAATGGAGAAAAGTGTTAGATGGTGAAAGTCTGAAAATGTATTTTTACTCCTTATTTTAAGTCTTTTCAAAAATACTTCGAGTATCTAGAACAGTGTACAGAATGACTTCACAGACCCCTGTGTCTCCATCCTCCTTGATGGTAGGTATCACAATGTCATGCATCATCTAGAAAGCAACAGGGAGCTGGGAGGGAGGGACACTGATGAGCCA